AGGCAAAGCTTACCAGGTCGACGTAACCGACGAGTCCGCCGTAAAGAAAGCCATCCTCGACCAAGTCCGCGAGTTCAACGGGCGTCTTGATATCTTCGTCGCCAACAGCGGTATCCCCTGGACGCAAGGTCCAGCGATTGACGGCGAGATCTCACACTACCACAAAGTCGTCTCTACAGACTTCGACGGCACCTTCTACTGCGCGCGGACGGCAGGCGAGATCTGGAGAAGACAGGGGATCGAGGGTACGGATGCGTTTGGCAAGAAGTTGGAGGGGTATACCTATGGCAGCTTTATCGCGACGGCGAGTATGAGTGGGCACATTGTCAATATTCCGCAGTTGCAGGCGGCGTATAATGCGGCCAAAGCGGGAGTGATACATCTTTGTAAGCACGGAAACAGCGATCGGTGAGAAGATGCAAGTGCTGACACGGAGATATTGTAGGCCGCTCGCTCGCTGTCGAATGGGTCAAGTACGCTCGAGTCAACACCATCAGCCCTGGCTATATGGCGACGGAGATCTCGGACTTTGTTCCGCCGGAAACGAAGGCTATATGGAAGAACAAGATCCCAATGGGTCGGGAGGGTGAGGCGAGTGAGCTAAAGGGTGCATTCCTATACCTCGCTTCCGATGCCTCCTCATACACAACTGGAGCCGACCTCATTGTTGACGGTGAGCACGAACTATCTCGGCAAGAAAGCGGTGGACTCGAACTGACTCGTCCCTTTTAGGCGGCTACGTGCTCCCATGAAGATCGGCCTGATATAGGGCAGATCTGACATCTACCGGCTCCTTCAACCCTGGCGGGCGTGGAAGAGAAGCACATGAAAACGGGCGTTATCTTGAGCGATTTTTTCCATAGCATTGCGGAGCGGGAAAAGGGCTAATGAATAGAAGACGCTAGAATCTATACCGGTTACCGCTGCGCTAAAGCCGCCGTATGGGCATTCTGAATGCCATCATTGTGACCGTGTAGGAGGAGATGCTGTATAGATCAGGAGAGAGCTTTCGGCGCTGGAAGAGAATAGAAACCAGCTGGAAGTCAGTGTCCCCCATGTCAGCGCGTACAGTTTTTCGTATTCGCGATAAGCACAAGCACAAACGGTCGCATCTGGGGGCGTCGCTTGTGGTTAAAATAGCACCCGCATTCCGAAGAGTCTCGTGAGTGTCGATCACACAATACCACATGGCAGAGCTTGTTTTGAAGATGTACAGTACTGTAGCTATACAAAGTAGCAGGTCTCGTATTACCCCTATTTCTTGTACGACAGCCGTCTTTTCTGTCATGATTGTGCGACGTCACACACAACCTTAAGTAGGTACCCGATCAGATATCGTCAATGATGGCTGATGGCTGGGACACGGACTTCCTTGGAAGGCTTCCAGTTACCGCCATGACCATGTCAAGCGCCTCCTTCACCGCCCGCCAAGGCTTTATGCCAGTATGCATCCGGTATGGCTTTATCTCCACGTCGCGTCAGCTAGCACCGGGTTACAGCGTGGAGTACATGACCAAACTATAACGTCGGTGTTATTGCTGCAAGATCCGCTGCAGAACAGGGAATGGATACGACGGTAAGGTAACTTACGTTTATCTTCGGCTGTGTCGGACGCGGAGGAGACACGCACATGGCAAAGTTGGATTTGGTGGTCGATAGGCTTTCGAGCGGATCGGCGATTCAGGCCAATGTTGAACCGAACGGTGCGTGTTCTGAGGTGGAGAAGCTGGCAAGACACGCGGGAAAGAGAAACAGCGCGAAAAGCGTGGGTCCCACCGTCGAGCCCAGCTTTGAACTTTGACGGACACCAAGCTCGACTGGTGACGATGTCCACGTTTCAGACTGGGAAGCGTGTCGAATGGGGTTCAAGCTTCAGCACAAATCTGCTTAGAAACAGCCGAGTTTGTGCACATCATCGAGTGACATGCAGCATGGCCCATGAGATGCCGCCTTGCGCGCTATAACCCGCTATAGCCCTCCCTTGCCGGCCAACAATGGTGAACACGCAATACCCATTGACCTCTACCGTCACGCTTTTGACTGTCTCCATTCTTCGTCAGCCCCGGCAAAATACCCACTGCTGACTACTTCCTTCAAACCCCTACATCCCAGCCATCAATCCCCTCACAGCGTGCGTGGTGAGACTCGACGACCCGATTGGTGCCATCATCCCAGCACTGCAGTATCGTGCATCTCGCTGGGCTCACGCAAGCGCCTGCAACTCTCGACCGCGCCTTGACTTTTCCAATCGCTGTAGCCGCTCTTCGCGGTAGCCGGGCGCCGGTCGTCTTCGTATCACCGGCTAGCCAACTTAGTTAGCCCTACGTTGTGCGCGCTGCGCGGAGACCAAACGCTATCCACACTTGCCGTATCCACCTCACCTGTGCCATAATCCGGCTGGAGTGCAGTCCGCGTACTACCTACTCTTTATACGTCTTATCGCCCAATTGTCCTCGATACAAACACTTCGGTATACTTTCAGCATACCAGCCTCAGTCACGTCGAGAGCGAGAGGAGGGCAGATACTGTAGAAACGGTGTTTCTGACGCTTCCCGGACCGACTTTCCTTGGGGCCCAGACCCGCTTCTCACCCTCACAACCCCTCACCCAAATCCGCCCATCACAAGCCTTGAACCTTACGCTGGTCCAGAGCTGCGGTGAATCACCTGCAACATCCTTGTTCAGGCCGAAAGCCTAATAGGTGGAACGAAACATACATATCGGAAGAGGAGGAAGGAGAAAAGCTGGTGTAAGACCAGAGTAATACAATCTCTCGTTGTCCGGCGTGACCGAGACAGCGAATTCAAACACATCACCAGTCATGTCGGCGGTGCTCGATTACCAACAATACGGGCAACTACCTCACCGAAAGCCCCTTCCCACCGGCCCATCACATGCCGCCGCCTACAGCACCTCCGGCCCGCTGTATCCCCAAACTCTCACCACAACGCACTCACGCACGCGGACCACCTCCTCCAGCGTCTTCCCTCCCCAACCCCAACAGCAACAACAACACCCAGTGCAACCAATAACCTACACCTCGACCCCGCCCATGGCGACCCAACCCTTCAACACCAGCACGCGCCGCACCCTCTCCAACGCCACCTCCAGCACCTCCAGCAGCGCCGCCGCCTCCTCCCTCGCCCGCGCCCCGACCAACACAACCTCCTACGCCTCCTCAATCCGGCGCTCCACCTCCTCGCGCAGCACAACGCCCACCTCCTACGTCGCGCTGATGCGCAAGCAAAAAGCCACCGTCTGGTGCGACCGCGCCCAGCACGAGGATCCGCGCATCCTAGCCCAGCAGCGCGCGGCCAAACATAGGGCGCAGATGGAGGTCGTGGGCGGCCATAACGCGGCTCGCATCAGCACGTCGAGCGGCGGCGGCGTGAGGAGCAAGATCCGCCACCATGGTGCGGTGAAGGCGAGTACGTACACGGCTGCGAATCTGAGCGGGGCGGGCGTGCCGATGCGGTTGAGTGCTAGCGAGGTCGATGAGGGCGAGAGTGAGGATGAGAGGGATTACAGTGGCGGCAGGTTTAGCGCGCATAGGAGGAATGGGAGTCGCCAGTCGAGTCTTGGGAGTGGGAGGGCGGCGAGTGCGGTTTATGGCGTGCATGGCCAGCAGGGCCAGGGCCAGAGGTATAGTTCTGGCTCCACTCCGCCTAGTGCGCAGAGCTATAGTCCGGTCGAGGGGGAGGGCGGGATGGGGTATTTGGCTGAGGAGGAAACGCCGGGTCCGGATATGTATAAGAGCCAGACGGACTATTTCGACCCGGGAAGGGCGAGTGGGGGCGGTAGTGGAAGTGGTAGTGGGAGTGGGAGCTCGGAAGAAAGGTTTGGGGATGTGGGTGGTTTGCCGGAGAGGAGTGCGGAGAGGGATCAGTTGCAGCTGAGGCAGACGAGTGAGGAGTTGAGGAGGAGGGGCAGTGTGGATGATAGGACTATGACTATGAGTGGGGTCAGGCTGTTTGTTGCTAATCCGGATTTGAGCGATTGATGGAGAACTAGGTACCTAGGTACGGGGTCATGCAAGTGGTGATTGCTAGGGAAATGGGGATGGGGACGGGGGATGGAGCGGATCTTTTGGATTATTACGATGCGGATTGGACTATGGATTCTGGAGTTGGGTATACCACTTGAGTAGGACATATATGATTTTAATGAGTAGATCTTCATGTTGTATCGCTTATCTGCAAGTCCGTGTGAGGTGAAGTGGCTGGAGGTGAGGAAGGTGCGAATGATTTCGGCAGGAACGCTCTGTTTCGACGTCACTACATAAGGTACGTGGACATCACCTCTCGTTTCCTTCCAGGTCCCTTCCATGTTTCTGTTCCTTGTTTTACACGTGTAAGCTTGTGCTCTCTTCATGTTTCTCTTTGTGATCGGTACGCTGACATTATCCAGAATCAGGGTCGGTTGCGAACCTGACTACTATGTCGCAGTTCGCCTGTATACAGACTCCAATACCTGACCGCTCCCGACGCTCCATCAACGATCATCCACCAGCCTTTGCTACATACCTAAGTTTTCACCCATCTCAGACCTGAACTCCTCCAACCCACCACCCCCAAAGCGCCCCAGAAATCCGCCAAGCAAACCCACCAAACGCCGCAGCCGAGCCTGGTCTCCCTCCCCCCGCGGGCAAGCAAGCCACAAAGAGGAGCCCAAATGCACTAAGTGACGGAGATCCGCATGCTGCATGCATGAACAAGGCCACCCTTTCCCTTGCAAAAGCCTATATTACAATCTCAACCCCAATGCATCACACCTCAACGCATTTCTCTGTTGCGCTTTACTCGGCCAAAGACGGTCGCGGACCCTGTTGCTTACCTGGATATATCAATCTGCCGAGTTCATCTCGCCCGCGGGATAGCGGCCGCGGCGTCTTCGCTTGCGCGTTCGATACAACCCCACCGTCTCGTCGTCATCACATGTATGCTGCATATATTTTTCTTTGGTGCCCCCACTTATAACAAAGCCACTAATTTGTTCAATTGGGTTGTATAGTGTAGCGGTTAGCACCTCGGATTCTGATTAAACCAGTGTTCCGGTAACCCCAGTTCGATTCTGGGTACGACCTCTTCTTTTGCAATTAATGGCCATTCTTTTTGCTGTCTGAGTGTGGGAGGCTATTGTACGGCTTCCTGCGCATCTTTGGAGCACCTTGGTGGGGCTGTTAGGCGATGAGGTGGCGGTCCGGTGCTTTGGTAGAAGCGTCGGGTTGGGGTCTTTCTTTTGGGTCATGGGAGTCCTTCATGGCATTCCTGAAGCGCAGCACATGACGCTACTCTACGGGCGTCTTCACATTCCCTGGGTATCTGGAAGGGCTTTTGTAAAAGCTACGCATATCTGGCGTTGGTCGAATTCCAGTGTTTGGGATGGCAACTTCGGTCAAATGCACCATTATGAGAAGCCAGCGGCCAGACCACGCCAATGCGATAGACTCTCCAGGCGAGTCCAAGTCACTGAAGGACAGACTATCATCCAGCTCTAGGTATGTCATTGCGTACCCCGTGTTCTGCTCGGAAACTGAAATCCAACATCGCGCGTGTATAAAGAAGAGGGGGCCTTTGACGATTGGCTTCGCTGTGTCTGGACGGGTTGATTGATCAAGTATGGTGATGAGAATACGAAGTCCTTGATGCGGATGCTCCATATGATACTGTAGGTCTCTTTATTGATTTGTATGCCACGAGAAGACTGCTAATCATACGACTAGGTACTCGGAATAGGTAATCTGGAGCACTCGTTGCTCATCCGCAAGTTCATATCACGCTTTCCCTCCCCGGTATCTGCTTTCCCCATCTCTGAAGGTTCTATAACATGAAAAGTCAACGTACAGCATTGCTTAAAATGTGTTGTACGATGTTGTGCAGATGGCGCCCAATGCCATGTCCCCGGGACGTCTAGGCTCGGCAGTCACCATATCTATCAGCTTTGCGTTGCCGAATACAACATTCCCAACAATCTCAAGCAAACGGGTCGAACGTAAGTGACTTGATTGTCTACAGTTCCTGGCGATGAAGTACTGATCTTTCATTGAATTCGTGTGTGTATTGGAAGTTCCGATGTTCTGGCCCGCCGAGAGCAAATCTCCCCCACCCCACAGAAGCCGTGTCGCAGATCCAGCCACGTCCATATCCGGCTCGTTTCACCTTTATTTCTTCGCAGGCGAGGTCTATATCGCGAATGTTACTCCATGCTCTAACAGATCAGAAGACTTGTGTTTCAGTGTCTCGCCACGACATCGTAGCGCACTGCTTGGCGGCAAGGATGATGGCCTTCGTGTGAGATCTGTGGTAGGTACATGTATGCCTAGTATCCGCTGTAGGATACCTCTTTCCTTCTCTTCATTCAGCCTTTGATAGTCATTCGTTTCTTGCTGTGCAAGCTGCCTTTCGCTTCGGCACCCTCTGTCTTTACCCCTTCCATACATTTCTCTCACGGTCAATTGCCATGCACTTCTCACCCCTTCTTACCCTCGCCGCTGCCTTGCCTACGCTGGTCGTAGGTCAGCTGTCCGGCAGCGTCGGCCCTCTGACCTCCCACGCCACCAAGGCTGCAAAGAAGACTTGCAACGTCCTCTCTTACGGCGGCGTGGCAGACGGCAAGACGGACATTGGTCCCGCCATCACTTCTGCCTTCACAGCCTGCAAGTCTGGCGGTGTCGTTATCATCCCCTCTGGCAACTACGCCCTGGGCACCTGGGTCACTCTGAGCGGTGGAAACGCATGGGCACTGCAGCTCGACGGCATCATCACCCGCACCGGCACCTCGGGCGGCAACATGATCTTCATCGAGCACAGCACCGACTTCGAGCTCTTCTCGTCCACCTCCAAGGGCGCGGTCCAAGGCCTCGGCTACGAGTTCCACGCGAAGGGCGACACGTCCGGCCCGCGCATCCTGCGCATGTACGAAGTCAGCGACTTCTCGGTCCACGACATCGCGCTCGTCGACTCGCCCCTCTTCCACTTCTCCATGGACACGTGCAGCAACGGCGAGGTGTACAACATCGCGATCCGCGGCGGCGACATGGGCGGGCTCGACGGCATCGACATCTGGAGCACCAACATCTGGGTGCACGACGTGATGGTGACGAACAAGGACGAGTGCGTGACGGTCAAGAGTCCGGCGTCCAACATCATGATCGAGAGCGTGTACTGTAACTGGAGCGGCGGCTGCGCGCTCGGCTCGCTCGGCGCCGATACCGACATCTCGTCTGTCGTCTACAAGAACGTCTACACCTGGTCCAGCAACCAGATGATGATGATCAAGTCCAACGGCGGCTCGGGGACTGTGTCGGACGTCACGTTTGAGAACTTCATCGGCCACGGGAACGCGTATTCGCTCGATATAGACCAGTACTGGGCTAGTATGAAGGCTGTTGACGGCGACGGCGTGCAGCTATCCGACATCACTTTCCACGTATGCGAGACCTCCTTTCCCCCTCCCCCGTCCTTCACTACTCCCACCCCGCCCTGGCTATCCATACTAACACTCTCACAGAACTGGACCGGCACCGAATCCTACGGCCTCCAACGCGGCCCCATCAAAGTCATCTGCGCCGACGGCGCGCCCTGCCACGGCATCACAATCAGCGACTTCAGCATGTGGACAGAGGAAGGATCGGCGCAATGGTACTCGTGCGAGTCCGCGTACGGCGACGGCTTCTGCCTCAAGTCCGGATCGTCGTATGAATCATACGCTGCGTCTACGACGACGGTTTCTGCGGCCCCGACGGGATATGCGGCCCCGACCATGGCGGCGGATCTGAAAGAGGCGTTTGGGACGACGGCGAGTATTCCGATTCCGGCGATTCCGACGAGCTTTTTCCCGGGCGTGGGGCCGTTTAGTAGGTTGGCTGGGAGCTCTTAGGATGTGGGATGGGGGTGTGGAGGTTGGGGGTCTGCGGTGGAGGAGGGACGGATAGGGATACGGTTTATAGAGATTCATGGGAGAGAAAAAGCGGACGGGTGATTGTTGTAGATTTTGTGAGGCAATTGCACAAAACGTATCCTCCGCCTTTCCTCCAGGCTGCGTTATCCAGCATCAGCATGTTCTAGGATACCCACGTAGGACTCTCCATCCACTACCATCTAATCATCACGGATACCCATCGACGCTATGATTCCCACTGCCCCCAGCCCCCACAGCCCCATGACTCTTAAACCAATTCAAGAACGTAAACATACTCGCCTTCGGAATCCGCTCCAACGAAGTATAGTTGACATACTGCAGACCAAACCTCGTACTAATACCCGAACCCCATTCAAAGTTATCGAAGATCGCCCACCCCCACGCCCCGGTGACATTGACCCCATCATAGTGTATCGAAGCGAGGATGTTGTCAAGGTAGCTCTGGTAGTAATCGCTGCGCCGCAGGTCCCACAAGATGGTGTTCAAGCTACTGAGTTGTGCCTCGCCGGGCTCGGCAAAGCCGAACTCAGAGACCATGATGTCCGGCACGCTGGGGAAGAGGACTGTGGTGATGTGTTTGAGGAATCTGCGGATACCGACGGGAGTGTCATAGAGCCAGGAAGCGCCGGCGTCGGAAGCCGGTCCGATGGGGAAACCGTCGGGGTCGGTGGATTGGGAGCCTGCGCATTCGGGGTAGCCGGGGTAGGAACTGTTGCTGACGCAGGCGGCGAAGTCGGGAATGCCGTAGGCGTAGTAGGTGGTGTAGCCGTCGATGGCGAAGAAGTCGCAGGAGCCTTTGACTAGGGCTGATTCTTCGGGTGTGAAGGTTGGTAGGAGGTCACCAAGAGTTTCGCGTAGACTGGTTGGGTAGTCACCTTTGCATGTTAGAGATCGGGGAGGGATGTTGGTGTGTCACTGCTTACCAGTGTTCCAGACTGGTGTGTTGAACCAGCCTAGGGAGAAGTCGTACCCGCGTTGAGCGGACACGATATCGGCTTGGAAAGTAGTATTTGGCTCGAAGTAATTGCCAGAATTTTTGAAGCTTATCCTTCCACGTCCTTTGAATTCTTCATGGTACCATTTCGCTACCTTTGCGTGTGCGAGAAGGGTATAATGGCCGCATGTGAACCGAGCCTCATTGCCACCAGTGATGCCATGGTAAGCTGGATAATACTTTCCTGCTCTGAGCAGCATGTCAGTAAAGTAAAGGCATAGTTTTGGTCTCATTGCTCACGGATAATACTGGTATTGCCTGTGAAAGCATGATTAGCTTATGCCATACCAGAAGATGTCTTAGTATCTCACCAGTTGCAGTACTGCGGCTCGTTGATCGTGAACCAATGTCCAACATATTCATCGTAGCGCTGAATGATGAATGTAGCATAGTTGAAGTAGTCATCTATTATTTGACGGTCTGTCCAACCGCCGTACTCATCGAACAAAGCAAGCGGGGTATCCCAATGGAAGAGCGTCACAGCAGGTTTGATGCCGTTCTTGACAAGCTCCGCAATCACATCGTCGTAATGTGCGACTCCTGCCTCGTTAATTGGACCCTTCCCGAAAGGGAAGATTCTTGGCCAACTGATGCTGGGGCTGAAGGCGGGGATACCTAGAGCTTTGAGCCTTGCAAAGTCTTGCTTGTAGAGATAATAGTGCTCCGCTACCACATCAGCAGTGGTGTTGTCAGCAACTTCATTAGGTACCCGGTGGGACAGCAGATCCCAGATGGATGGCCCCTTTCCCTCGGCATTCGCAGCACCCTGTTTCGAGGATCAGCATTCCGACTGGTGCGTCTGGTGCGACCTACTGACCTCTACTTGGAAAGCAGATGATGCCACGCCCCAGATAAAGTTGGCTGGCAGCGTGACATTGTTGAGCCCAGGCTCATAGCTGGGAATATACGGATGGAAGACGCCTGGACTTGCGAACTTGGAGGGCTCAGGCGTCGGGCTGACGGTAGTCGTAACAGGACCAGTAGCGATTGGTCCGACTTGGTCCCAAAGGAGTGCAAGTCGTTCGTCTGAGAAATCCGTCTGCACTAGATATGTGCTCGCTGCCGAAGCATTATAGGACTTGGTCGCGTAGCTGGTGGAGACGCCCGTGGGATTAGGGTAGCTTATGCCAGAAGGTGGTGGCACAGATGCAGCAGTAGTACCATTAGTA